GAGGAAGAAAGATTTGGGGAGGGGGGACAAGGACTTGGGGAGGGGGTTCTCGGAGGAAAAAGATTTGGGGAGGTGAGGTCAAAGATTTGGGAGCGGGGATCAAAGATTTAGGGAGAAGGTACTGGGGAGACAAGGATGTGGGGAGGGGGTTCTTGGAGGACAAACATGGGGAGCCAGGATCAAAGATTTGCGAGGGGTTGCTGAGGGTTGTAAATGTGGTGCTTAGTGACATGGTTTAGTGGTGACCTTGGTAATGCTGGGTTAATGGTTGGACTCAATGATCTAAGGTCTTTTCCAGCCTAAATGATGTTATGATCAAAGATTTAGGGAGAGAGTGCTGAGGGGACATTGATTTGGGGAGGGGGCTGAAGGATTTGGGGATGGAATGCTGGGTGAGCAGGAGAGCAGGGGGCAGTGGGGAGTGTCAGAGAAGCAGGTGTTGGGAGAGGCACTGGGGGACCAGGTTCTGGGCTGGGGATGGTGGGGACATTTGGGGAGGGGGTGCTGGGTGTTTGAGGGGGTGAGGGGCTGTGTCCCTCTGGGCTGGAGGAGCTGCCTGACCTCCCCTCTGAGGGCTGCCAGGAGCCCCTCAGAGGGTGCAGCATGTCCTTGTCTTTCACCCAGGAGCCATGTGCACAACAAGACTCTTCACCCTGGTCCTGGTGGTGCAGCCACCCCGCGTCCTCCTGGGCATGAAGAAGCGGGGCTTTGGAGCCGGGCTGTGGAACGGCTTCGGGGGCAAGGTGCAGCCAGGGGAGAGCATCGAGGAGGCTGCTCGCAGGGGAGGTCTGGCCCGGCTCGGCTGGGGGCCCGGGGGGGAGGTCTGGCCCGGCTCGGCTGGTGCCCTGGGGGAAGGGGGATATTGGGTCACAGGTTGGGCCATGGAGGTGCTGGGTGATTTGTGGTGGACTGCAGGAGGGGTTACCACAGCTCATGATCAAGAACACTGTCATAACTGGTGTGCTACCCGTGAGTGCAGTCGTGAGCCATCTCTGGGCAGAGAAAATCACCTGCTTCACAGGAGATGGAGGATTGTCCACATGTATAAAGAAACAAGATTGATTCCTGTTTCTTGTCATCTGCAAATCTTTAACTGTCATCCGGTCTACGAGTAACTGGAAGTTACCCAGTGTTCTCCTCCTGTCTCAGACTCTGATCTGAACTAAGATTTAATCTGCTAGTGGTGGGCAGAGGTTCTTGCGCTGTTCAGAAAGGTGCAGTTTAATTTTGTCTATACAGTAGAGTTATAAAATGCCATTGTACCACTGATTGTTTAGATTTTCAAGCTCTTGAACAGGTGCCATCTTTCAGTAGCATTTTCAGTACTGTGTGAAAATTTAGTGACACAGTATCAGAAATTCTCAGAGGTTCCTTATGGAAGAAACTGTAGAAATGTATCATTTGATGGCATGTTGGTATTTTTAAGCCCTAATGCTGAGTTAGGGAATTGAATTCCATTATTACAGAGGTACAGTACTATTTTTGAAACTTTCAGAACTGGTTTCTTGAAGTTCTTCTGTCTAGCCAGTAAGAAGAAATATCACATTGCAGCTGAATTGCTGAATTCCTCTAAAAATTAGGTACCTCGTTCTTTACATGAATACTGCCAATACAAAGCCACACTTTTCCACCTCCTTGCTTCCTGATATATGCCAAAAACTATGCCTTGCACCTGCAGGAAGACCACTGTTGGTGTGCCCCACAGCTATCTAACAGCTTTTGCCCTGAACCCTCTCCTCAGCTGTGCCAGCGGAACCCCCGGGTTCTGCGGTGAGCCAGAGCAGGGGACAGAAGGGTCCCTGTGCAGATGTGCACCCAGCAGTGTGAACCTACCCGACATGACATCGTGCCCTTTGCTCTTACTTGTCGTCTCTGAGTGGAGGGAGATCAGTTTTGTGGCTTAAATCAGGCCTTTGTCTCTTTCCCAGTGCCTGCTGCCGTGCCCTGCAGAATGCTCCGATCCCCTTCAGCGTGGTTGGAAGGAGTTCACTGCAGGATGACACAGTGATTCCTGCCCAAGGCAACAGAGCAGGAGGCAGGCCCCGGAGCCAGGGCCAGCGTGGCAGGCAGCCCTCCCTGCTGGCAGGAATGGCACTGCTGCAGTGCTGCCTCTCCCGGGAGAGGCACAGTCCAGGTCAAACTTAACTGGCTCCACCTCTGCTCTGTACCTGGAGTTGAGGTATGGAGGCTGTGGCTCCTTCTTGCACTGTCTCAGCTGGGTCTGTGGCAGCGTAAGGTGTGACGCGCTCTCATAGCACTGAGAGTTAAATATTAAGCTGAAAATACAGCAGAAGTTTCCTGTGTGGGTAAGATTTCTGCCCTCCACTGGGTACTTGGGAGCACCTGGGCACCCACAGCTCCTCCTCAGTGGCACGGGAAGCATTTAGCTACTTCATTATTTCTAGTTTGCTACTTGTAATGTTTCCACTTATTATGTACAGAGCCAAGCAGCTGACAGATAAATTGCTTAGAGATCCATAGCTGTGATGTGCTTTGTTGTTCAATTACCACAGTGTGTAAAATGAAGCTTTTAGCTTTGTTGCTGGAAAACTGCCTGTACTTTAGACAGTTTCTCAGGAAGACAGGCTAAGACATTAAGTTGGAATATAATTTTGAAGGATGGGATCCATGAAATTGGTGCTAAAGAAAGCTGGAACCTTAACAATAATTTCCATTACATTTTTAAATTGTTAAGTTATTGCCAAATATGCAGCTACATTAATTATTAACCATAACTGAAGATATGCTGTTTCAAAGTACTTCCTATTATTGTACATTAGAAAAACCATGACTAACTTCAAGCCATGCTGATTCTGTTAGAGGTAGGTAAAAAAAAGGCCCGTAGTGTGTAGCATAAGCAGAGCAAGTAATTGAATATGCTTCCAGTTGCTGTGCATGGCAATGCACAGAGAAGAGCTGTCTGGCAAGGCTCTCAAAGTGCTCTTAGAAGTCTTGCCTTCCCGCCTCTCGTTACACTAAATGTAATTCCAAGGAGCAGAAATAGAAAGTTTACATAATTCTTTGGTGGTTTTTACACAGCATTGAGTGGGAGATGGTATTCCCAATGTTCTGTGTACAAATGATGTTGTGTAGTGTTTAATAAGCTTCAGTTAGCCTCAGAAGCAGCTGATTTTGTAGTGAGTACAGATGTTATAGTATTTGTTACCTGCTTTCCCACAATCCTGAAAGCTTTAGCGTGAAGCTGGCAAAGCCTTTTGCCTGTCTAAATTAAGTGTATCTTGGGAGTTCCTAAGCCACGTCCAGCTACAGTCCTGAGCGTCAGCACACGTCTAACTGCTCTCAGGAAAGACCATCATGTTGCAAGGAATGTAAATTATACAAAACAATCAACTTTCCTGAATCTTCCCCTCCCAACACAGACTGTTTTCCTAGCAGCCTTTAGGGAGGGTGAAATAACACGAGCCAGCTGGAACCAGCCCCACTGTGGTGGCAGCAGGCTGACAGTTCAGTGCTAGCCAGAACTCTGCTGTGCCCTGCTCTGTTCTACAGGTGCAGCTTTCACCTTTGCTGCACTGGAAGCGTTTTGAATGTCAGAATAAAGCTACTGACTGCTTTTATGTTCTCCCCCTGCTCGCTTGCATGTAAAGAAGCCTACTTCTTACACAGGGAGCTTCTGGAGGAGAGTGGACTGACTGTGGACACCTTGCAGAAGATGGGGCAGATCACGTTTGAATTCGTGGGCAACTCTGAACTCATGGAAGTTCACATCTTCCGGGCAGATGATTTTCATGGAGAACCAACAGAAAGCGATGGTAGGTCGCTGGCAGAGGGGAAGGAAGGAGGCACGTTCTCTTGGGACAGTATTGCTCTTCAGAAAAACAGAACTACTCATGCCAAAATCCCTTTAAGAAGGGAGGCAGCTGGGCTGTAGGGGGAAGCTGCTTGTTGACAGATATTTAAAGTCTAGGCAGCAAACAACTAAGTCTCACGCAACGCTCTTTTGTTTTCTCCCACCAGAAATGCGTCCACAGTGGTTTCAGCTGGATGAGGTGCCCTTCAGTCACATGTGGGCAGATGACAGCTATTGGTTTCCTCTGCTGCTTCAGAAAAAGTTGTTTCGTGGCTATTTTAAGTTCCAGGGACAAGACACTATCCTGGAGCACACTCTGAAAGAAGTGGAGGAAGTTTAAGAAAATGGAAGCATTCAATCCATGTTCTGCTGCCCACATTGGGCTAGAACACCACAAGTACTACTTGTAGGGGTCTCCTTTCCCAACTCTCCAGCAGAGGAGACTCATTTGCCACATCACTGGGAAGTAAGGAAAATAAGGGGGTTTCTTAGAGCAGAAATAAAAGTAACAAGATTTTCCATGCTGTGAAGTCCCTGGCTGTGGTATACGTTAGTGGTTATGTGACCACAACTACTAAAAACTGAAGTGTTAACCCTTTTCTTCACAGGTGATGATTTTTTAGGTTTTCCATTATGGTTGGAAACATTTTTTTAAAAGATTAAAAATATTTTTTACTAAAAGCATGAGTGTTGTTTTGTTGTAAGCATCTGGCTACCTTCTAGACTGTTTAATGGCCTTTCAGGAGTTGGCTTCCTTTCACAGAAATATTAAGTGGACTATGATGCAGCAGCATCTATTAACTTCTCAGTGACAGTTTGTAGACAGTTCCCTGTCTAGCATTACTTCCTGGGACAAGGTTAGGTGTGACCAGTCCTGTGAAAGCCTTTTGAAAAGCTAAGGTAGAGATCCCTTCAGGATTCTCCAGCTGAAGGTGATGTAAGGTTAAGGAAACCCAAGTCAGAGGTAGATGTATGGCCCTGTTCAAGCCCTGCGTTCACTCTTGCAGCTCCTGCTGTGAATCTGAACTATTCTGAGCATTTCAGGTGAAATATGCTGAACAAAATCCACCTTCATCAGTCCATGATGCAAAGTGCCATCACCTACAGCTGCAGGCTTTGCCACAGGCTGGTAGCAGGGAACCTGCTCACCATGGGGTCAGCCCAGCTCAGCATGCTGGGCAGCAAAAGCTTCAGCAAACTACTAGAAATAACACATCACATATATAACTTCTTATACAAGTTTTGTTGTTTTGCTTTGCCTTTTTTTTTTTTTTAAACAGTTTTACAAACACATATAACACTTACAGATAGAATCTTGGAATGTAACATAGGATCTGTAAACATTTCCAGTCTGCCAGCTGTAGTAACAGTTCTTTAATTCCTGCATTTGGATAAAGTGCTTCATACATAAGGCTATTTGAGCAAAGCAAAGATACAGGATACTCCACGCAGGCAAAATTCACACCCTCTGAACAAGACTTCCTTCTTGTCTCCCTCCAGCAGTTCTGAATCATTTATACCACACAAAAACACCCTGCTTCATATGCTCAGTAAGCCACAGCTCAACTTGGAGGATAAGAGTTAACACCTTAGACTCTTACTTTTCCTTTTGTGCTGCACACTGAGTTATTTACAGAGATTTTGATACTCACTTCTGCTTCTGACATAGCAGTATAAAGGTTTCTGGCTGATCTAATGCAGAGAATGGCTCGAGGCAAGCCAAGGAGAGAAAAATCAGCACAGGGAGATAGGTAATGGGTAGCCTGTAACAGGATGTAAGACCTCACCGCGTGGTAGGAAAGGGAGTGACTGGCAGCCAATACCTGTTACGTTCTGATTTAGTTCCTGGTGGAGGCTGTAAATTGTGTAGTGAGAGAGCAAGTTACCTTCTGTTCCTCTAGGAGTTTAGGTAAGAACAGGACACGTGCTGCTCAGGCTTGTGCCTCCTTCTGTCCCCTCTTCTGCAGTTAGTTCAATCTTTGATGAAGATGCTTATCACCAGCACTGACTTTTAGCTCAGGTCAGAGTAGTCACATTACCACTCCTGCTGCAGCTGTGGAGACTGACACATTTTAACTAAATCCTGGCCCCAGCTGGTGATCTTTGTCTTTTAGGAAACAGCACAAACTGAAGATTTAGCCTGTTACAAATTCCAGGAATTACATCCTTGCATGACCAAAGTAGAGGCCTAAAAGCACTGGGATGCAGCAAGGCACTGTTGAAAACATGTTAGAACTTAGGAGAAGCAACTTGCAAGGAAGAGAGAAGGAGAGGGAAAGAAGGATCAGTGATTAAGGTTGTGTTGTAAATGTTTGGAAAGCCTCTCAACACATGCTACTGATGAAAAAGCCTGTATATTGTATATTGCCACTTCACAGCCTGAAGCAGAGGAGACCTCAGGAGTGACAAAAACATATAGCCCTTTTGATAAAACAATTTTCAGGCCAAGTTTCAAGTTCTCAGCTGTTTACTCCCCTGACACCTCCACAGCAGATTTGACATAGAGACCCCAACAGAAACACTGGAGGCCCTTCCTACCATTAGAATTTCAAACAAATGGAAGTCCCCATGACCTCAGGTGATACACAGAAAGCTTCCACTCAAGCAGGCACGTTAACTCTTTGGCACTACATCTTACAGGAGCATCAGTTCTTGGATACGCGGCACACACTCTTCAGTTAGTCTTCTGAGTTGCTTAGTGTTCATTGCAATCTACCCAGCAACGGAACCACCTTGTTAAGTCTTGTTCTCACCCTTGTATATAGCAGAAGGCAACAGCACAGAGGTCACTGGAACTGGTTCCCCCACACTGACTAGGGGAGACAGACAGCTGAAGTCAACTCAATTTCCTGCTGCAATCCTCTAGAAGGAAGCAGCACTTGATGCTGCTCTGTGAGTCTGACAGATCCCTAAACTAAACAGAAAAAATACAGCAAGGAAGTCCCTCACATAGAGAGGTAAACATAATAGTGCTAGTTGCACACTGACCAGTCTCCCAAAACGAAGGTTTGCAAACTGAGGGTTGTGTGACAATGTACACACAAACTCTGGGATGAGACAGAAGCTTGACAGTCCAGCAGGAAATAAACCCTGAAAGTGCCATCAGCTCTATCAGCTTTGAGAACACTCAGCCTCTGTTCTCAAAATCCTCAGTGACCAGAGTAATAGCAAAATAAGAAGAGCCCCTCTCCCAAACTGCTCTCCTTGCAGAGGCAAGGGCTGAGAATGGAGGAATGGGTCATTCCAGTTTCTTTATAGCTCATGTGGTCTGCATTTATCATTACTACAGTCTCTGTATTTGGACAGCAGAATTCTTGCTTGAAAGGAGAACAGGAAAGAGGGGTTAGTCTAAACCCAAATGTGGTTTTGATGTTTGGTGGGGGGGGGGTTGTTTTCTGTTTTTTAAATAAAGTCAAAAATTAAAACATTTTTTGAATGTGAGAAGTGCAAAGTTCCATTCAGGCCAGTGCTTTGCAAGTGCTCCTACAGAACACAGCCCAGGCACGTCACCTACCCCAGCCAGACAGGCTATGTAGAAGTTACATCATGTAGATATTGGATCCTGCCCCAAAACACAGTATTTTCTCAAGTTGTCTGTTCACCACATCAGGCAAACAAGGCTAACTGAGGGAGGACAGGTACTGAGACTAAGGAAATGACAGGCCACCACCAGCCAGCACCTTCTAAAGATGCTGGGAGTAAAGAGCATTTAAAAGTATGGTAACAAACTTTCCACATGTTAACAACAAACCATCTTCCTAATCAAGACAAAGTCAAGCAGAAAAACCTTTTGTGCTGTTCTTGAGATTGTATTTTTGTTGTTAGTGGGCTGCAGAAACATTTCCCTCCCCAGCCAGTTTGCTTTGGCCTGCGAACAGAATCTCTTCTGCAGCACTTTGGAAATCTTCAGGAGAGAGAATCAAATCTGTCCCAGCCATTTGCAGTTAATCTGTCTCACTGGACAAGGCCAATAGGGAAGAAAGACTCAGAAGAGAGTTAACATTTGAATTACTATAAAAAGCTCTTAATAATGCAATCTGAGCAAAGCTGTTTAACAAGACACCCTACACACTCCTCAAGGCACAGCAACCAAGAAATTCACCCACAGAAGGGCACTTCACCATGTTTTGAGGAGTACAATGGTCATACCAGTCTCATGAAACTGAGTAAGTAACATTACCTTGCTGCTAGCTGAAGAAACTAATCCAGAATTTCCACCCAACTAGGAAGAGCTTCATGTTGCCTTGACCTTTCTAAATTAAAAAAATAATAATAAAAAAATTGTGATTGGAGGATTTAAATGTATTTCCTGCTAATGGGGAAGTTCCCAAATGGGAAAATACTGAAGTGGTTCCAGTTTAACAGCAAGCACTCATGCTTGTCAACGTGCTTCCTCTCTACCCACTCACAGAAAACGCTCAGAAGCCGAGTCTCAAATTCCCCCTTGGCAGCTCTTTTGGCCCCTGAGAAGTTAGGTTCAAGGGAATCCTGTTCACGTAGAGTTTTGCTGCATACGTTTGCAGTTTCTTCAATTATCAGTTTCTCTGGAGGATATGCACAATTTCCCCTAAGGCAACATGACAAGCAAGCTCTCTCCCTACCCTTTGCCTAGTGAGGAAAAGTCACTGGAGATACAAAAAGTGAAACACAGAGAATGTTTAGTCCCTTTATCACAACCACAAATCATTCCAAAAACAACAAAAATTAATTACCAAGGACTGTGCTACGTTTAGAGAGATTGAGAACTGTCACTTAATTGTCTTCTCTCCTTCACAAACTCCAGTGATACCCAAAGCTAGAAAAAAAAAAAAGAATGACAGTAACATCCTGACAAATACTGATTTTTTGCTAATGAACCTTATCAGCACTGTGTCCCTGCTGGTGTAACAGGATACTTCCATCTGTTAGACCAAAGAAAAGACCAGCCTTCAGGTCAGCAGCTCTCCAACAGCCCTAAACAGCTCCTCAACAGTCAGAACCTCCAGAAGACAATAAACAAGCTACTTTGTAGCTCTTCTGCTCATATACTACCAGGAGTTCACAATTAAGGAGTGTTTTCTTCTATTCTTTCCTCATTTATGCCAGGAAAACTCCTCAGAGTTCCTGAACCCAGTTGTCTTTGGCCCCAAACTGAAATATATGAGCAAGTCCCCAGGCTGTCCTGCACCCATGATCTGGAACATGCTGGCAATACAGCCTGCCTAAATTCACTGGGAAAAGTACTGTCACCCAGCAGCACTGACTGCTTCCAGCTGTGCTAGCAAGTCCAACCACCTCAGTCATGTGTTTTGTGCTGAAGTCTGGCACTGAGAAATCAAACCCAGATGCCAAATCAAATCC